AAGGAAGGAAGAGCAGTTTAAGAGTAGCAAGATGCCAGAATAAAGGAAGATCCATATGATTAACAGATGAGATAATTATAAGTACAGCTAGAAAGATTTTAGCAAACTGTCAGACTCCATAAATAAAGGGTCTAAGAGCTAATAAGTTATGATTGCTAGGTCTCAAAAAGGTTTATAAATGTACCTGTTAGCTCGAATGTTCATGCTTTGATTATATATGTTCTAATTGCTCAAAAAATTTGTTCTGTCCTAGAAGATACTAAAGCCCAGGTAATCATGCAGAAAAAACCTGTTAACAAATATGCTAGATTACGATTCCTTTTGCTGGGATCCACCAGATTTTGTCTATAGATACACATATTAAAACCATTTTAATATAGGGGGCCAAGGAGATAGCTCAGTGGAATAAGTGCTTGCCTGGCAAGTACAAGGTCCTGAGTTTGATCCCTGGTACCACCAAAAAATGAAAAACCTAATATAGCTGTCCACCTGATAGAGCCCAAATGATCTGAGCCTTCTCTGGGTTTCCTGCCTCATCACGAGGAAAGTTATATTCATGTTTCTTGGACAAGACAACCTACAAGAACCAAGAAGTTGTACCTTATGCAGCGGACCCCAGATATCTGACACAAGCTACAGAAGTTAGAAGGTTTTGCAGAAATGAATTTGTCTGAGTTGAGGTGTTTCATAGTAGAAAGGATACAAAATGAAATTATAGATGGAAAATGAGAATGTTGATACTAATAGCCTACAGGAAGAAAGGTAAATGTCCACAGCTGCTAGAAAAAAAAAAAAAAAGTGTTTATGATGGAGTCAGAAGAAGTTTCAGATTGAGGTGGTCATGTGTCTTCCCTCTCAGTCTAAGGGAACCCATGTTAACTGCCAATGTAAGGAGAAAGCCTGTGAAACTTTCAATAGATGCTTATGCAGATTTGTCAGTAGTTACCCAGTCAAAGGCCCACTTACAAACTGGAAAATACTCAGTGTTTTTCGTAGGCCGAGTAATTCATATACTCCAGTAATAATAAAAAAGTCCAACTTGTTTAAAACAATACACAAAAAAATAAAAGATTAAAAAAAAATTAAACCTCACATTTAAAAGATATCTACTAATGGATCTACAAAATGTTCTGACTAGTGTTTTTATAATTACAAACTTCAAAAGGTTATTGTATTCCAGATCTGCTAAATGACTACTGTATCCTGTTGATATTATTATTTGTTTGTTTCTCTGGTTCTGTCTTTCCCCCAGTCCCCCTCTATACACTGGTACTCCAGCAATCTATGACCTGTCCCAATTTATAAATACCACCCAGACACTTGTTCCATATCACACGGGTATGTCTTGTCTAATGGTTGCGAACAGATAGGTAATGTTAAACTTATGATTATTTACCAACAATATGAGGCCCTAGCTACTAACAACTCAGATCTCTAAGATTAGAGATTGCCAACAACAAAAGGGGGGAATGTAAAGCCCAAATAATTTTAAGATCACATATAGAAATAAATAGATAAAATGTGTTTCAATTAAAAGGACCCACTCACTGGCTTACGGCCCTAGAGCTTGAGCAAGCCATGTTCCTAACACAAAGAGGACATAAGAAAACCTTCGATGGGGTCCCGTTACTTGGAAAACAACTAAAACCACTGAGTCAGCCAAGAAGTTGCCCTTGGCCCTCCCCTTATTTGAATTCTTACAAGAGACATACATTCCCAAAACCTAAAGCCTCACTACTAAAAAGCCATAACAGCAGAATGCCCAGGCCTGCTTCCAAGGCCACAAAAAGAGGACAGTCCAATTCATCCCCTTACTAGTGGGGCTAAAACTCACAGCAGCCATGGGCACAGGTTCAGCAGGGTTTAGGGTAACGTACATTCTTATACTAAATTATCTAACCAGCTGATTGATGAGGTTCAAGCATTATCTGGTACTATCCAAGATATCCAGGACCAGATAGATTCGCTAACAAAAGTGGTCTTACAAAATAGAGGCTTGGACCTTCTGATAGCAGAACATGGGGAAATGTCTTGCTTTACAGGAAAAGTGTTTTTTTTTTTTTTATGTTAATAAATCAGGCATAGTTCGAGACAAAATCCAGGAGCTTCAGGATCAACTACTCAAGTGGAGACAACAGCTTGTGGAGGACCCCTTCTCCACATTGTGGGGAGAAATGTTCACCTACCTTGTGCCCCTGTTGGGACCCCTCTTCTCACTCCTACCGTTGCTCATGATAGGACCTTGCATTTTTCAAAAGCTTACGGCACTCAACAGTTCACGCATAGATGCCTTTGCTGCAAACCCCATCCAAATACATTATCATCAGCTGGAAATGGCAGATCATCAAGAGTATCATGAGGGGCTGGAGAGATGGCTCAGTGGTCTAAAGCACCTACTTGAAACAAGCT